GAGGGAGAGAGAAAGAAAGAGAGAGGGAGAGAGAAAGAGAGAGAGAGGGAGAGAGAAAGAGAGAGAGAGGGAGAGAGAAAGAGAGAGAGAGGGAGAGAGAAAGAGAGAGAGAGGGAAAGAGAAAGAGAGAGAGAGGGAAAAAGAAAGAGAGAGGGAAAGAGAAAGAAAGAGAGAGGGAAAGAGAAAGAAAGAGGGAGGGAAAGAGAAAGAGAAAGAGAAAGAGAAAGAGAGAGAGAAAAGGAATGGGGAGGGGGAGAGGGGAAGGTAGACAGGAAAAGGGGAAAGGGAACAGAAAGGGGCAGAGGGAGCAAGAGAGGGAGGGAAGGAATAGATAGGGGGATAGGGAAGGAGGAAGAAAGGATAGAGGGGAAGGGGAAGGGGAGAGGGAGGGGGAGGGAGAGGGGGGGGGAAGAGGAGTTGGATGAAGAGATAAGGAGGATAGAAGGATAGGAGGAGAGGAAAGAAGAAAAGGAAAGGAAATGGGAGGGGAAGGGAGAGGGGGAGGGGAGGGAGAGGAAGAGAGGATATGAGGAGAGGAGATTCTTGGAGGAAAGAAGAGGATAAGAGGAAAGGAGAGGAGAGGAGGAGAAAGAGGAGGAGGACAAAGGGGAGGAAAAGAGGAGGAGGACAAAGGGGAGGAAAAGAGGAAGAGGAAGAGGAGGAGGACAATGGGGAGGAAAAGAGGAGGAGGAAGGAGAGAAGAAGAGGAGGAGGAAGGAGAGGAGAAGAGGAGGAGGAAGGGGAGGAAGAAGAGGAGAAAGGGGAAGAAGTGGAAGAAGAGGAGGAAAAAGAAAAGGAAAAAGGAAAAGGAAAAGGAAGAATAGGAAGAGGAGGAAGGGGAGCAAGTGGAGGAGGAAGAGGAGAAGGAAGAGGAGAAGGAGGAAGAGGAGAAGGAAGAGGAGAAGGAGGAAGAGGAGAAGGAAGAGGAGAAGGAAGAGGAGGAGGAAGAGGAGGAGGAAGAGGAGGAGGAAGAGGAGAAGGAAGAGAAGGAGGAAGAGAAGGAAGAGGAGAAGAAAGAGGAGGAGGAGGAAGAAGAGGAGGAAGAGGTGGTGGTTATATTTTGGACAACAATCCTAAACTTAATAATAACTGCTAGTAAATGTTTCACTAATGACTTTGACTGTCGTTCGCCATATGGTTTAATCAACTTCGTGTTCAAGCGATTCCTTTTCCAAATGCGGTCTAAATAATAATCACTCTCCTAACACTGTCGTTTGGCACGCTTTTGACTTTAATAACCTGGTCATATCCTTCGAAAGAAAACTGTTAAGCTCATTAAACACTATGATATTCATTCTACAAGGTTATATTGACATATCAGTATTTAAACATTTCTTCCTCTGAACTGAGCTTGCATTTCAAAACAAAAATAAAATAACAAAAACAAACACTGCATATCAATGTGATCATTTCATAGGCAACACAAACACTGCATATCATTAAACCCGAATTCTAACTTACGCGGAGGTATAAATCGAACAATGTTACGCCATTTCCAAGACGAAAATAATAATAAACTTCACTAAATAACAGAAAAATCCAGGGAAGTCTTGTTCACTTTGGACTGCCTGTGTCCGAGTCAGCGTCTACACCTCATGACAAAAATCAGGAAAATCAAATTATCCTTTTTTATGTTTATTCTAGTTGCTTAGAACACGTCTTATTGCCTATTTTGGAATTCATAGTGTCGACGATTGGTTTTACTTTCTAACTTTTGGTGATTTTGAAGTCGGGGCATATTAATAAAGGTTGTATTTTCGCGTTTTGGTTGGTATTTCCCCGGATGAGTTGGAAATCAAATGAATGGATAGAGTGACCTATGATTTAATTATTATTTATATGTCGGATTTGAATATATTATCAACTACAGTGTAATTAACCAAAAAATAGCACTGTGAAAATTCCTGAAAGTTTGAACACCTTACCTTGTATACAAACGTTCTGTTATCTCTGGTCTATCTTATCAGCAAAATAGAACATACCTAATGTACGGCTGTCTAACAATTTCATAATAATATCGCTTACGTAAATAACGTTTGTAACAGGTTTAAAGTTGATGCACATAACGCAAGCAGAGATACATGTTGCCGTAAAAGCATATTCAAGACTCAAATTTCAAACTATAAGGTTGAATATTGCATGGAGTATATGGGGTGATGTGTATATACCAAAGACTCAACTAGGGGATTATACCCATGACCTTCCCCTTCCCTCCTCTTCTGATACACCCAGATAACTGCAAAGCTTAAACCTGCAATTTCTGCGCTATTATTTACAAGCAGACGTTACTAATAATACCATAGGAAAAGGTAAATGGCTGGAACAACCAATGATAATCGACTGAAGTTTGTATTAATTTTAAAATTGATGGGGAACTAGGGTAAGTGGCAAATTCTCCTAGTGCTAATTTCTGGGTGATAAGTATCGTGGTACTAACTATAATTCTACCATTGGGTGGTTTCGTTGTTCGTGCGCAGACAGCACGTCGCTATACGAGTGG